GGTTATGCGCTGTCAGCCTCGTTTCCTTCCTCTGAGTTGGTTAGGCCCCGGTTTTCACCTTGGGCTCCACTCAACCCATGTATCCCTGTTGATACATTTCGGTGTTGCTACCAAAGATCTGTCGAGTCAGTTCTTTGAGCAAGCTCATTCAGAGCTGGTAGTAGCCCCCTGGGTGACAGGCCAGGGTCTGGTTTTTTTAGACACCTGGCCGTATCCTCTCAAAGGAATCTCTTTTTTTCTGATTCCAAGCCTTTGAGCTCTGCCCTAGGCTCGGGCTTCTCAGCCCAGCCCTTATCAGGACCACGTTTAGGGTATGCAGCTCAGGCCCTTGGCCGGTGGGGATAATGTCACTGACAGCCGTCAAGGCTTCCTAGGGGCAACTCCCATGGCTATGGTAGAGTTGGTACTTGGTGCACTCCCCTCAGCATGGCAGTGTGGGTATACCGTTCCCCATAGCGACCCTTAGAGGACGCAGTTCAATGTTCCCTTGGAAGGGAACGTCTCAGGTTACGTATGTAACCAGGGTTCCCTGAGAGGGAAACAAGACACTGCGTCCTCTAGTTCCCTTGCCATGCTTCGGACGTAAGCTTCAGACGAAGAAGTGGATGACGTGTTCTCTCGACGCCCTTTTATACTGTGTCGTGCCGGGTAATGACGTCATAGGCTGTCGCCGGCCAATGATATTGTCGTTTTTAGATGTTTGCTTCAGACACCGGTCACGCTGAAGGTGTTCCCCCATAACGACCCCTAGAGGACGCAGTGTCTCCTTCCCTTCTCAGGGAACCATAGTTACATACATAACCTGAGACGATTTGTGCCTATAATTTTTTAATGCAATTGTCTATATTAGGCTGTTACATCAGGGTTTACTTTTATGTCCTTTCACATTTCTGTTTTTATGAGTTACAGAAAATGAACCATTTTTGCTTTTTTTTTTTTCAGAGTTGATTGAAGAAAACAGGGAGATTGAAGAGCTGAGTAAAGTTGAGGAGAAAAATCATATTCACATGAGAGTTCATACAGGAGAGAAGCCGTTCACTTGTGATCAATGTGGAAAGAGTTTCTCACACTCAGCAAACCTTAAGGATCACATGAACATCCACACTGGAGAGAAACTGCATGCATGTGATCAATGCAGAAATTTTTTTTTGTGGCCTTCAGACCTGAAGAAACACCTGAGAGTTCATACAAATGAGAAACCACATTCATGTTATTTGTGTGGAAAGAGTTTTTCATGTCTGCAAAATTTGAAAGAACATCAGAAAATACATACTGGTGTGAGAGACTACATGTGCTTTGAATGTGAAAAGACTTTTATTTCAGTGAACTGTTTAAAACAGCACCAGAGGATTCATACTGGAGAGAAACCATACAAGTGTACACACTGTGACAAGAGATTCAGTCAGTCAGGACATCTGAAAACACACCAGAGGATTCATACTGGAGAGAAACCTTATGAGTGTTCACAATGTGACAAGAGATTCAGTCACTCGGGACATCTGAAAACACATGAGAGGATCCACACTGGAGAGAAACCTTATAAATGTTCACAATGTGACAAGAGATTCAGTCACTCGGGACATCTGAAAACACACCAGAGGATTCATACTGGAGAGAAACCTTTTAAGTGCTCACACTGTGACAAGAGATTTAGTCAGACTGGAGACCTGAAAACACATGAGAGGATCCACACTGGAGAGAAACCGTACACATGTGATCAGTGCGGGAAAAGTTTCACACAAAAAGGAAACCTTATGGAGCATATGAGAGTTCATACTGGAGAGAAGTCGTTCACTTGTGATCAATGTGGGAAGAGTTTCACAAAATCATCAAGCCTTAAGGTACACATGAACATTCACACTGAAGAGAAGCTGTACACATGTGATCAATGTGACAAAACATTTTTGAGGGCTTCAGACCTGAAGAAACACTTGAAAGTTCATACAAAGGAGAAGCCACATTCATGTAATTTGTGTGGAAAGAGTTTTTTGTGTCTTCAAAATTTGAAAGAACATCAGAAAATACATACTGGTGTGAAAGAGTACATGTGCTTTGAGTGTGAAAAGACTTTTATATCAGCAAATTGTTTAAAACTGCATGAGAGGATTCACTCTGGAGAGAAACCTTATTTGTGTTCACACTGTGACAAGAGATTCAGTCAGTCAACACATCTGAAAATACATGAGAGGATCCACACTGGAGAGAAACCGTACAAGTGTTCACACTGTGACAAGAGATTCAGTCAGTCAACACATCTGAAAATACATGAGAGGATCCACACTGGAGAGAAACCGTACAAGTGTTCACACTGTGACAAGGGATTCAGTCGGTCAGGAATCCTGAAAAAACATGAGAGGATCCACACTGGAGAGAGACTTTATAAGTGTTCACACTGTGACAAGAGATTCAATGATTCAGGACACCTGAAAAGACACCAGAGGATCCACACTGGAGAGAAACCGTATCACTGCACTGCATGTGGGAAGCGTTTCAAACATTCATCTGCTTTACACAATCATACAAAAAACAATCATAGTAAGTAGATCATCTTCAGATCAGCACTTTCAGGTCTGATGCTGCGTCCTCACACAAATGAGACAAGCCGGAAGCGGCGCGCCTCACGCGGGCAGGGCTTATATGCTTCGAGAGCGGACACTGCACTAGTGATACAAAACACACAGGTCTGTTAAGAGCAATACTTTTAATATAGACAAATTATTATTAGGCTGGGCTACTGTACGTTTTTTTTATGACTGCCGTATTCGCAAGTATTTTCCAAGCAAATTAAGTGCACGTTTTTATCATGTGTAAAATTACTGATTAACATGGCGGATAAAAGCAGCTCGTTTTTTTTACACCAA